GGGGTGTGGGGGGGGGGTATGATGAGTAATTATAGCCATCCAACATTATAGTATAATTGAAAACCAGGCCTAAAACTTCACATTATCACATTGTTTTTATTTATCATGTATTAACAATTACAGAACATTTAATTTAGGTGAACTTAAAACAATAAATTGAAAAAATCAACACACACTACATCAACAAATGGAAGAATAATTACTTCCATTTATTTGCACGAATATATTGAAGTAATAATTAGCTATATTTAACTATATATATTTTTACTAAAGCATTTTAATACTCTACATGAGCATTGCTGAGTGATTATTGTGTTAACAAACAGTTGAGTTTTGAATTTATTAGTGCTGTCAAACGATTAATCGTAATTAATCGCATCCAAAATAAAAGTTTTTGTTTACATTATATATGTGTGTACACTGTGTATATTTATTATGTATAAATACAAACACATGCATGTATATATTTAAGCAAAATATGTTATGTTTATATATTAAATATATTGATATATAATATAAAATATAAGAATACAAATATATAAATGTATATACATGTAAATATTTTCAAAATATATAGTGTATGTGTGTGTATTTATATATACATAATAAATATACACAGTACACATACATATATTATGTAAACAAAAGCTTTTATTTTGGATGCGATTAATCATTTTACAGCACTAGAATTTATGCATTGACAGACAGTTTGATCTGACTTTTGTATTCATTTTTGCTACTTGAAATTAATTTAGAGAATCTATTACATATGTCATGCAAAACTTCAAATAAAAAATGCATTAAAACCCTCACAATAGTATTGTATATTTTAACACCTGCAAAATCCTAACAAATAAATTGTAAATATTCAATATATTTCTCAGCTCCAATGTAAACTGCATGCTGCTGTACAATGTGTATTAAACAGCAAGAACAAACAAGTGTAAGAATTTCTATATACTAGTCACATAAATTAAATTAAGCAATGAAATGAAATGCAACCGTGATAAAAGTCTTATTACTTTTCATTTACATACATATTTGCTATTATACTCATGTTAAAGTAGTTTCTGCTTTAATATGATCAGTTACATTATACAGGCAATGTTTTGCCATTCTGTTTTGCCTTCATCTTGTGTCTCAATAGCTGATCAGTGATGGCAGCGTGTGCGCGGAGGCTCTATGGGACCACGTCACCATGGACGACCAGGAGCTGGGCTTCAAAGCTGGAGACGTCATCGAAGTAGTGGACGCCACAAACAAGGAGTGGTGGTGGGGCCGGGTGCTGGATAGCGAGGGCTGGTTCCCCGCCAGCTTTGTTCGGGTAAAGGAGAACAGATTTCCCGCTCATAACAAAAAATTGGATTACTGTCACATTATGTCATCACTATATTACATTAGGCTAGAATGAGGGGTCATCAGTGCACCAGTGTTCTTTTTGCCAAGTACATTGGTAAAAGCCACTGCACAGTGAACATTTAGGACCAGATTTACATGCTTGAGACCACAATCCCATAAGAGCGCCAATGGGAGTGGAAAGTTCTGCAGGTGATCCTGATGACAATGTGGAAATTAAAGAACACAGACGCAGTCAGATCATTTCCATAATGACCAACGCAATCAACCAAGAGCAGTGCAAGTTATTGCAGATTTTAAGCACAAAATGGGTTAAGACATGCTTTTCTGGCGTGTTAAATAATTGCACAAATACCAGTAAATTGACTACTGCAGACCTAAATCGCATTGCATGATTTATTCAAATACTCTCCTCCCATAAATTTTGAACTTGCAAATGTATATGCAGTAAGGTCATCCACAAAAATAACTGTCAGTACCTTTTCATCGCTAATTTTTCACTGTCTTTAGTAAATCCTAACGGTATTAACCTATTTGTTATTGGTAGTTACGGGTGAACCAAGATGAGCCCATGGAGGAATACTTAGCCCATCTGGACGGGGCCTCGGAGGGGGGTGGGGCCAGCATGGGGGGCCCCTTAGGGCCCGGTCTGCCCTGCAAGGAGCAGATGAGAGCCAACGTCATCAATGAGATCATGAGCACAGAGAGGGATTACATCAAACACCTGAAGGACATCTGTGAGGTCAGTTTGCCACATGGCTCTGATCAATCGGTTCTACTTCAGCATGTGGATTTTGTTTCAGAGCATTACAGTGTCTATAGTCACTCGGCTCTCTGTTTACATGCTGAGAGAATGACCTGATTCATATCAGCTGCTCCATAATCCAACTAGCTTTGCTATAGCATTAAACCTTTGACTTACTCACTTTGGCTTCCAGGGCTATATAAAACAGTGTCGGAAGAGGACAGATATGTTTACTGAGGAGCAACTGCGCACTATCTTTGGGAACATCGATGAGCTCTACCGTTTCCAGAAGAAGTTTCTCAAAGCCTTGGAGAAGAAATTCAACAAAGACCATCCTCACCTCAGCGAGATTGGCTCCTGCTTCTTAGAGCATGTAAGCTGACTTCCATGTAGGCGGTGATGTAGGATGCAGTTTTTAGGTTTGGATTTTTATTCTGTTCTCTTCACTTCTTTTCCATCCAGCAAACAAACTTTCAGATCTACTCTGAATATTGCAACAACCACCCCAATGCCTGCGTGCAGCTCTCCAAACTGATGAAGATCAAGAAGTATGTGTTCTTCTTTGAGGCCTGTCGCCTGCTCCAGAAGATGATCGACATTTCCTTGGATGGATTCCTGCTTACTCCTGTTCAGAAGATCTGCAAGTATCCTCTGCAGCTGGCTGAACTGCTGAAGTACACCAACCCACAGCACAGGTAATGAGGTCTACACAACTGCCTGCTGTTACACATTTACTACACGCTCATGCTGTAATTAGGTACCCATTCAAAAGATACTAATATAAAGGTGTACCTTTTGAAAGGGTACTAACTTTTCCACTGTTTTTCTGAGATGACTGTATGTCCGCATTGATGTGTGATTTAGCTATAAGATATAAATGATTTTTTGTCAGGCATTTTGAAATTTTGACTTTATTTAATAGAGATCTTGAAATTAAGCACATATGTGACCCTGGACCACAAAACCATCACAAGTCATAAGGGTCAATTTTTCGAAATTGAGATTTATACATCATCTGGAAGCTGAATAAATAAGCTTTGCATTGATGTATGGTTTGTTAGGATAGGACAATATGTGGCCGAGATACAACTATTTGAAAATCGGGAATCTGAGGGTGCAAAAAAATCTAAATATTGAGAAAATCGCCTTTAAAGTTGCCCAAATGAAGTTCTTAGCAATGCATATTACTAATCAAAGGTTTTAATATATTTACAGTATGAAATTTACAAAATTTCTTCATGGAACATGATCTTTACTTAATATTCTAATGATTTTTGGCATAAAAGATCAATCTAAAATTTTGACCCATACAATGTATTTTTGGCTATTGCTAGAAATATACCCCAGCGACTCAAGACTGCTTTTGTGGTCTAGGGTCACATATGAGCACATTTAGCTCTATTTTAAATAAACATATCTAAATAAAATGTGAATTATTTGTGTAGATGACACTATAAAAATCATGAGTGTTCTTCACTCATGTCACTTGCAACAAAATAACTGCATCGAAACGTATGGCATATATGCATGTCTGTAGATAAGAAATTAAACACTTTCCCCCCACACTTTATGAATATAATTGGTGATATTTCACTTGGTTGAGCATCAGTGATAATCAAGTGTCATCATATGTTAAATAAAAATACAGATACATATACTAGTGTTCAAAAGATTGGCTCAGAAGTCTTTTTTAAAGAAATGAATACTTTTTATTCAGCAAATCGAAAAATAAAAAGGACAAAATATTTATTTTTCATTGTCTTTAAATGAAATGCTGTTTTTTTAAACTGCCTATTCATCCTGAAATAATATATAAGAAATGAAGAATGTATAAGAAATAAGAAAATGTAATAAGAAATGTTTCTCGATCACCAGATAAGCATGTTAAAATGGTTTCTGAAGGATCATGTGACACTGAAGACTCCAGAAAATTTAGCTTTGCCATCACAGGAATAAACTACTTTTTAAAATATATTCTTTAAAAAAAAAAAAAAGTAATTTATTCCTGTGATGGCAAAGCTGCTTTTTCAAAATATTTGATCCAAATGGACATTGTTGCCCAGCAGATTAAAAATTTCAATGCAATAACTTAAAGGAAATAGATCTATAATTCATGAGCTCTAATGGATGATAATAAATTGCTGAATCAGTGTTTTGAATGATTTATTTCACATTTTACTAACTGACATTTCCAATCTCATATATTTTGCTTTTCAGAGATTATAAGGATGTGGAAGCTGCCTTAAATGCAATGAAGAATGTGGCCCGACTGATCAATGAGAGAAAGAGGCGTCTGGAGAATATTGACAAAATTGCTCAGTGGCAAAGCTCCATAGAAGACTGGGAGGTAAATTACACGAGCATCTTGGATAATATTCACACACTGATTCACTCCAGAACTGTGTGGTATCACAGGCTCTTTTCCCCTTCATTAGGGTGAAGACATCTTGAGCAGAAGCTCTGATCTGATTTTCTCAGGAGACCTGACCAAGATCTCCCAACCACAGGGCAAAGGCCAGCAGCGAATGTTCTTTCTCTTTGACCACCAACTGGTTTTCTGTAAGAAGGTCAGTCGCTTACCATGCCAGTGAGAGCAGAATTACTGTCATTTATGGCAGATGGTTTTTATGTGAGTTAAAGTAGTTATTTTATATGATTGTTCTACTTGCTTGGCACCACAGGATCTGCTTCGGAGGGACATCCTGTACTACAAGGGTCGGTTAGACATGGATCAGATGCAAGTGGTGGATGTGGAGGATGGGAAGGATAAGGACTTTAACGTGAGTGTGAAGAATGCCTTGAAATTATGTTCTCCTGGGGGAGAGGAGGTCCACCTTCTGTGTGCCAAGAAACCCGAGCAGAAGCAGCGCTGGCTGCGAGCCTTTGCGGATGAACGGGAACAGGTCCAGCACGACCTCGAATCAGGTGAACAGGCTCTTGGAAGCGCAAATAAAAGCATTGATTTTATTGTCCACAGTCTTTAAATGGATTATTTTCAGTCATCCAGCATCATTTGTTCTCCATCAACAAAAATGGACGTACATGACAACTTGAAATCATTTGGTGATTGAATTTACAATTTCCACCTATCAGACGATAAAACAAAAATCATCTAGAATTACATCCTCAGTCATATCTAGGGACCAGAAAGGCTTGGGCTCTTTTAAATTAAGCCAGTAAGCAACAACCTATGATACCCTGGCAACCAGAGTTATTTTAGTATTAATGATATATTATTTATATGCTATAGCTATAGTTTTTATCAATATTTTGAATTTATATGTATATATATATTTATATGTGTGTGTGTGTGATTTTATTTTTTATATTTTCAGTTTCCCTTTAAATTGTATTCACATTTCAGTCATTTTAAGTCATTTTTGTGTCTTATTTTAAAATATTACTATATAGGTATAATATATTTCGATTTTTTTATTTATTTCAGTTTTAGTTTTACTTCAGGTTTTGTTTTTATTTATAGCAGTTAGTTATTTTAGTACTTAAGCTTTGTTAACAATAGTAACCCTGAGGCAACTATCACTAATCTACATTCAAACTGTTAGCTGTTATGTATTCATATTTGCTAATCTGTTTAGTTTTATATAATGTTTGTACATGACAGAAGTGTTGGTCTGTTCCCCACAGTTGATGAATTGTATTAATGTTTTTGGTTTGTCCTCCAAACAGGTTTTACGATCACAGAGGTCCAGAAGAAGCAGGCCATGTTGAATGCATCTAAAAGTCATCCAACAGGAAAGCCCAAAGGTGAATTTCAGCTGTTTTGTCAAGTTGACTTGTGTCTTTTCTGTTATTATTACATGCTGGAGATCCAGGATATAGTGTGGAGACTGAAATCATTCCAGTTTAGCGTGTAGTGAATGAGTTGTGTCATCTGTGGTCACTGTTCATCTGTTCACAAGCACGTGTTTGACCATGTTTGTGTTGTGTTTCATTATTACCTCGCTGCCCTGGAACAGCATTAGCTTTACAGCATCTTTTGGCACTCAGAACTCCTTCACTTCTTCACCCAAAAACTTCCAAGTGCCTACGTTTTTCTGAACCTTCAGGACCTCTGGCTCCCAGGGCCACCTTAACTTCACCTCTCCTCCCTGAAGGCCCTCAGCGTAGGCAGGGGCGGGGGGTTAGGGTGCCCCCTGGGGTCCTGCGCAGGGCAATATCTTGGGTGTCCTCTCAAAGTAGAGAGCCGATCGAGTAGTCCAGGGTAATTCCACAGTGTGTTGGTGTGACTTATCTGCTTATATAACTGAGGCTGGGTCAAAATATTGATTTTCTGATTAATCATGATCAATATTTGAATCAATATTTACCAGAGTTTGCAGTCTAAATTGAATATGATAAAATAAAAAGATGAAATTGCAGCTTTTTTTGAGTTTTCCAAACAGGGTGCATACAATAGCATGCGGCATGACTGGTGTAGTCTGATTCACGAACATATTCATGAACAAAAGACTCTTTTATACCAGATATTTTAAGTGAATTAACAACATTCAAAGTAACTAATGTAGTCCAATTAGCTAACTAATGAACCTTTTAGAACCATACAGAGTAATCAGTGTAGTGTGATTCACAAACAAATGGCTCTTTAAAACTAGTTATTTGTAGTGAATAACAACATGCAATGTAGTTTTATTCACAAACAAATGACTCTTTTTAATTGGATCTTTTCAGTGAATCAGAGAATTACAGCGCAACCAGTGTAGCCCAATCACAAACAAATGAATCTTTTAAAATGGTTATTTTTAGTGAATCAAAAACATGCAGAACAATCAATGTAGTCTTATTCACAGACAAATGACTCTTAAACTGGATCTTTTTAGTGAATTAAAAATGCACCTCGCAAACAGTGTGCGCCAATTCACAAACAAATGACTCTCTTAAACCAGTTATTTTTACTGAATCAGAAACGCACCACAGAACCAGTGTAGCCCAATTCACAAACAACTGAATCTTTCAAATTGGTTATTTTTAGTGAATCAAAAAATGTAATCTTATTCAAACAACTCTTATGAGCCAGTTGTTTTTAAGAATCATTAAACGTTTGCCACTCTTTTATGGGAGTTTCTAACTAAAATATGAGTTCATATTTTTACATTATTTTAATGTGAATTATTGTAATAATATAAAAATAGCAGTTTTGCATAAGAAAATCAATTTGAAGTGTTCACACACAGAGTATGAATGATTCAGTTATTGTATCTGGTAAATAAATGGCATGATTTTTTGTAATGCACAAGATGTACAGCATTAGCTGAGGTGAGAATCACTTTCATATGAATGATCAAATGGAATCGAATCAGAAAATCTGTACCCATACCCCAGCCTTTTTTTTTTTTTACAGTAACTGATCTAGTTTCTGTAATTCACTGGCAACCCATCCTTCCCTAATAAGTACACACTTAACCCATTTACAGCATTACATTCAATAATATCAGCATACTCTAAACTGGTCTGACCAAAACACGATCGTCTACTAAACCCATGTGTACATCTGTGTCCCGTTCTCTAATGACCGAAATCTCTCGGGTCCTGACCCTTTGTTTATGTCCTCTTTCCCGCAGCTGTGACCAGGCCCTACTATGACTTCCTGCTGCGTCAGAAGCACCCCACGCTTCCCACCTCCCTGCCCCAGCAGCAGGTCATCATGTTGGCCGAACCCAAACGCAAGACCTCCAATTTCTGGCACAACATCGGACGCTTGACACCGTTCAAAAAATGAGAGACTCGGTACATTCGCGGTTGTGCCTGAACTCGTGTTTTTATCCCAGTGTAACATGTTTATTTTTAATGTCCAATTGCGAAAGCACTTTATGGGTTGGTTACAATCACGGCATCGCTCCCAGACGTTGTGGAACTTTGTGGGAGGGTGTTCCCGCTTTGTTATTATTAACGTCGAAAAAGACGGCTAATACTGCTCAACCGCTCCACTTTCCGGCACTAACACGACTACTGCTGCAAGTCATCGTACGGACACGCTTCATCGAAAGAGCCCCGCTTGAAGAGAGGACTTCTTTATATGTTGGTTAATTTATTTTCAAGTTTTCAGTGTATGCCAGCTATCCACAGTGCCCAGCTACTAGCTTTTGTATGTAATTTGATACTTTTGTGTATCCCATGATGATGTTTGAAGTTTTAAAGGGTTCCGCACAAGATAAAATTAGACCGTGTTGAGATTTATTACTGTATTATCTTCCTGGAGGCTGTTGCTCGAAGTCCATCGATATCATGTCAGTCTGTGTATGCAACTATCAACTCCCTACTTTCTCCTCTGAAATGAAACGTAGACGACGTCCCATCGGTACTCACCGTTTCAGATGAGTGTTTCATGTATGCACTCATTTGATTCTGCTGCCTAATGACTCCTCTGTAACGAACTTCTCTTTGAAGTGCCATTCCAAACCTAACCCAGATATTGTGATGGGGGTTGCATGAATTTGCTGTGAAACTCGACATTTTCAACCCAAATAAAATTCTCAATATTCTGTCATTCTGATAATGGTACTATTAAATTAAAGACTATGTTTGACAGTTGTCAAATATGTATGATTATCTTTGATCACAGAACAGAGTATGTTAATAAAACGCATTTGTAAGTGTTATGAATCTGACATTTGGGGAACGGAAAACTGATGTTTAATATTTTTAATGTTGAAAGACTTTCTATTCCAGCTTAATGTGCAAGTAAAACGTTTGTAGTTTGTATTTCCCAAAGAGCAGCCCAACCAGTGTTATTTTATTATAATTTATATAATAGTATAGCGTTTATTCATATTTTGAATAAGCTTTCATTTTATATTTTCAGTTTATTTAAACAACCCTGTTATCATTTCCTCGCCTTCCACTTGTTCCAAACCTGTAGGAGTTTCTTCTGTTGAACACAAAAGAAGATATTTTGAAGAATGCTGGTAATTAAACAGTTGACGGTAGATACTGACATCTATAGTATGGGAAAAAATACTTTTATTTTTTTCCCCATACCATAGAGGTCAATGGCTAGTGTTTGGTTACCAACATTCTTCAAAATATCTTCTTTTGTGTTCAATAGGATTTTCATCTTTGAATTTTCATTTTTTGCTGAACTATCCCTTTAATGAAAATTCTGTCATTAATTACTCACCCTCATGTCGTTCCAAACCCGCAAGACCTTCTGTCATCTTCGGAACATAAATTATAAAGATATTTTAAATATTAAAGATATGTTTGATGAAATCCCAGAGCTACGAGAATACTTCTTGTGCGCAAACTTTTTGTGCATTATTTTTGTTTTCTTTGCGCACAAAAAGTATTCTCGTAGCTTCATAAAATTACGGTTAAACCCCTGATGTCACATGGAATATTTTACCGATGTCCTAGCAACATTTCTGGACCTGGAAACACTGCAGTTGTGTTGCGGTCTAAGGGAGGGTCTGAGAACTCTTGGATTTCATCAAAAATATCTTAATTTGTGTTCCAAAGACGAACGAAGGTCTTTCGGGTTTGGAGCGACATGAGGGTGAGTAATTAATGACAGAATTTTCATTTTTGGGTGAACTATCCCTTCAAAAACTTTAGTAATTTTATTGTTTTTTTATTTTATTGTTTTAGTAATTTTACCATTTCAACTTAAACTTTCAGTTAGTTGCCAATTTTTCATTATTTCAGCTTTAGTTCTTGATTTAACAGACTTGATTTATGTTTATTGCCACATCAGCTTCACAGGCTATTTCATGGCAAACAAAGATTATACATTAGAAAAACAATAAAGTAGTACACAATACAAAATATAAAAATCAAATAAAGCAATTATAAAACAAAGTTTTGTACATAAAATTCTATAAAAGATTCTTTAAATTTACTTTTGAAAGAAATGGTATAAATTGTACTGGGTCCATCTTATAAAACAAGTCCTTAAGGGTTTGTCCTGATAATAACCTTTGTCTCATGACATTAAGTATTGGGCAGACCAAAAGCACATGTTTCACCGTCAAGTGAGTCGCGCAATATTGACATTTTGGTGCTTCTTCACCAATCAATAAATGTCCATATGGCATGTCCAATACGACACCTTGTATACACAACTTGGTCATGCCTAGATTTAAAAATAAATATCTTGTTTCTTCAACAGAATTTATTTCAAAAAGTTTATTTTGACATTCTTCCCATCTTGCCATTTCTATAGCTTTAGCTCAGTTAATAGTTTTATTTTTAATTAACAATAACACAGCTTTTGTCCAGGGAGCGTTTGGAAACCATTTCCACACACTATCACTATTTTTGCAGTTCTGTTTGGTGCCACTACAGTGAAATAACATACTGCACCAGTAATAAGAGGTATGTTGGTAGATTTTAGCTGCAGCGTTTACATTTTCATTTTCACAAATTGAAAATACTGCCACCCAGTGGTCAATATTCAGGTCAGCATATCAGTTCACTGTTACTATGGTGTTTTTTTTTTTTTATTAGCATCCAGTGTGTGCAGCTTGGTCTGTGACCTTGAAACGACAATATGATTAAAAAATGTTATTTTCTAAAAAAAACAAAAGCAATGAAAGATCACTTTAAACCACACCAACCAGGTTCATATAATATTTATTAGAGCTTCATAGCACATTATAGCACAATCAATTAGTTTAGCAGTAAAAAAAAATCAGTTGGCACATAAATCTGATGAATAGTTGGCAATCTCGGACTGCTTTTTGTTACTGTAAGGCTACTATGACGCCCCTCGAATGGCAGAAGAGACGTTCACACAACAGGACATGGCAGTGTAGAAGACTTTTATATTGCTTTGCGCTACATTAAACTCTGATCTTTCTCTGATCACATCTGGAGTGTTACTCTTGTCAAATCACATCTACAATGTGCTTTTTTTTTTGCACTTCTCGCTGAACTTAATTGAGCAGCTCCAAGTAGGTAATTGGCACTTTGCCTTTCTGATTCCCCCTTTGCCCCATCAGCCAATCAGAGTCCATGCCTGGCACACTGCTCACGGTGATCACCTGATGGAAACTTTTGACAATTAAGACTTATAATTCATTTTATGCCAATCTGAAATGACGTGATGAAGGCCCACCTCATCGGCGAGTAGAGAGAGCTCACTGCTGCTGGCAGCGTCGTAGTCATAGAGCACACGAGCCTTGCGGGTGCCTGAGGTGCTGCGGAGCTCGTTGAGTGCGGGTGAGGTCTGGCTGGGCGGCGGAGTGGGCAGTGAGGTGGCCGGCTGTGCCGTGGGAACCGAGATGCTGGCAGAGGAGCTGCCAGCCGGCTGATTGTTATTCGAGAACGTGGATGGAAAGCTGGAGGAAATATGGAAACCGTTAATAATGGTGGGTTTAAATATAGAAATAACTAAATGTACATACACTTGTCAATTAATAAAAAATATTGCTTACATTGCAATTTGACTGTTTGAGAAAACAGAAGATTCCATTGTGGATGCATTTAGCATAAAACAGAGGATTTGGTGTAAAAAAAAAAAAATGGCATAACTATTACAAACAAATGCATAGAGGTATAAAAGTGAGCCAACCTTCCCAGCTGTTTCTGAAGATTGACCATGTACTGGTAACACTGGGCATAATATGCAGCTTGAGCATCCACAAAATCATTCAGACAGCGCGAGTGATGAGCCTGATCACAAAGAGGAGAGCACAGCCATTAGTGCATATTACACACATGAATATACACCGCAGTGTTTCCCACAGAATCTATAATTAGTCATAAATCCACAGTAATCCTAACATATTTAAAGTGCTTTTAAATGTTTGTATTTAAAACCAATCGGATCTGTTCATTGAGTAATTAATTTAGACTGATTCATTAAAATAACAATCAAGGCTGATTGAAAGAATGATGCTTTTGACTAGTTCATTAAAAATGGTCCCATAAATCATTCATTAAGATTGATTTAAAGAACAAGTCTTTTGACTGATTCATTAAATGACAGGCTGGTAGAAGTCATTCATGAAGACTGATTCAAAAATGAGCCTTTTG